GGCAGCCCTCCCAACTGAAGGGTTTCTTAGGCTATAATGCTAGGAAAGAAGAGGTTTCATTCATTTCAGTGCACCATGTGTGGAAGCAGGTTGCCATGGGTTGTTTCTGGTGGGCTTCTGGCAGTAGAGAGGCAGCATGGTGTAGTAGGTAGAGTGTGAGACTGGGACTTGGGGCTTCTAGGTTCGAATCTGCAACAAACCATGAAATTTCTGGGGTGATCTTGGACCAGTATGACCAACGTTGCATAGTGGTTTGCCACCTTATTTAGCCTTTGCTTGTCCATACAACCTTAAGTCTCTTTTCACTAAGGTCAGATTAAATACTTTGCACCTAATGGACGTTAAAGGGCGCTATGATGGCTCCAGTAGAGAGTGCCCATATGGCTGCAGAAAGACGGAGGATTTGTATCATTTTCTTCTGGAATGTTCTTTGTATTTGGACATGAGAGCCCCATACCTTGATCCTCTGGTACGTATCAAAAAAAGATATTTTTATTGGCAGGAACTGATTAGTATGTGTCCTATCGTACGGCCAAGTATATCAAGTTAGCTCTGACCAAAAGAGAAATGTTTATATTGTCTAGCGACAAGAGATGATCTGAGTCTAAACGTGCATGTTTTATTACCAATTTCATTGTCTTATTGGATCTGTGTTTTTAATATGATATTGGGCTGTTTTACGGGCATACGCAAAAGCCTTGCTGGCTAGCATCAACAAACGTGATGTGCAGAGTGGTTCGAGCGTTGGACGACAACTCTGGAGACCAGGGTTCGGGTCTCAGCTCGGCCGTGGAGTGCGATCTTGGGCAAGTCCCACTCTCTCAGCCTCAGAGGATGGCAAGGGCAACCCCCCCCCCCCGGAGGAACGTGCCATGCAAACCCCGGGATAGGCCCATGGTCTTAGGCTCGCCATCCGTCGGGAATGACTTGAAGGCACCTAACCACAACAACGCCAGGGAAGAACGTTCTCATCTAGGTATGGTGGACCTTTTGGAAGGATGCCTTCTGGCGGGCGGGTGGGTTCCTCTGTCCCTTGCCTCCAAGTTGGTCCCTTCCTCACCCCCGAGGAATCCAGCTCTGCTGGGGATGGGGAGGTTACTGGAAATGGTAGGCAGGGGAGGCCAAAAGTAATCAACCTGCCGGGCGACCCGTCACCCCTTCTCCGCCGGAACACATGCCCGGGCTAATACACCGGAGCCCAGCTGCTTGGCAGCTGACCCCCCTCGGGGCCCCCTTGCTGACAAAAGGCCTATCTTCTCTCCACCTAAATGATTTAAATTCTAATCAAACATCATTTATAGTACATCTCGCTGCCGTCTCCTGGGAACGGTTCCCACGTGAGCCGTTGCCAGGGCAACCAGGGGGTCTCATTTCAGAAATGTCAGATTGCATTATTGTCTTCACACTTCTCTGATAACCTGGTGTCTCTCTCCTTCTTTCCAACATCCCTGTGGTTTTCGCTCTCTCCCCCCCCCCGCGCCGCCG